CCGGTACCGAGCAAGCCGCCACCGGGGCTGCTGAGCCCGATGTGCGGCAGAGGAGCATGCGGGCGGGCTGCGGTGCCCAAACTAGCTAGGGACTCCCGGGAGAGGCCGGGCTGGGCAGGCAGACGGTGGCACGAGAGCCGGTGATGGGGAAAACAGAGCAGGTGGTGTGGGGAGGTGCCGGGTGCTGCCCTGTGCAGCGCGAAGCCAGGGTGCCCAGCAGTAGAGCAGCCAGGTCAGTTGGAGGAGAGCAGGGAGCTGTGGGAGGACAGGTCCATGCTGCTGGCGCTGAGGCCTCTGCTCTCCGCACGGAGGCCTTGGGTGCCCTAGAAAAAATACAGTGCTGGTGAGGTACTTGCAGTCCAACCCCATGCCCCAAAGCTGCTACCCCAACTCCTGCACCCCTTGCCTCACAAGCCCGAGATACCCTGGTGTTGCTGCTGTCAGACCCATTAAGTGCTGCCTCTGCTCTCATTCTGTGGCTGGAGGGGTTGCTGAGCAGGCAGGGAGGTGAGTACTTGGAGGCAACACCTTCAGGTTTGGAGCTATGACCTTGGAAAAGGTCTGCAGCTGCCCAGGGGTGCCATGGGACCACCAGCCTAGGCAGAGTAGCTCAAACACCGCACAGCCACAGAGCGCACACACTGTGAGGTCTCAGGCACTGCACCTGTGGCCCGCTATTATGCCCCTCACCAGCTCTGACGAAGGCCACAAGGCCACCACCCCAATGCCCACTCCTGTACCAGCCGCTCCACCCACCCTGTGCTTACCTCAAATGAAGCATCGCTAGACTTGTGCAAGTAATTTAATGATGCAGCTCGTTTCATGCTACAAGAAATCAGAGGAGAGCAGGTTTGACCACACTGTGTCTGATCAGATCCAGACCCACAAGGTGTCAGGGCCCCCACCTGCCCTGTACCCAGCCTGATCCTTGTACCTACCTGGTGTTCCTGGGCTCCAGGGGACCATTGCCCTGCAGTTTCTTGACCAACATCTCACTGCTCCTCCGTATCACATCCCGGATTTTCCCCAGGGAGCTGCTGCGCTGCAGAGTGCCACTGCCATCCTGGACACAGAGACACAAGCCAGGATGATGGCTGAGTGGCACTGATAAGGTTCTGGCATGCTGCTGATGAGTGGCTGGAATTGGCTCCAAACATCCTCTTGTCTGCCTGCAACTGAGGATTTAGCTCTGGCCCAAAGCAGGCTTAGTGCTGACTACATGGCTCCCCCCCCCACCCTGGTCCTTCACAGGACATGGGGATCAGGGATCCCCCCATACCATTGTCTGGCTCATCCAAACTGATGAGCCTATCTGGTGCAAGCCCAACATCCAGACAGGTTGCTGACTTGCCCCAGGGAACCAGCACAAATGGCACTGGCACAGCTTCATCACCTGCAACAGCTCAGGCAGCAGCTGCCAAGGAGGTACCACTGCCCAGGGAAGCAACAAGCCCTGATGAGAGTCCCAAGTTTAGGGATACTTTTGTCAGGCCAGGACACACTGCCAGGACTCTCTCCTCATCTGCCACTGGCTGGAGACTATCTTCCCCCACCCCTTGCCCTTCTTCACCATACCATTACTAGTCCTCCTCTCCGTCCAGCACTCATCCCAATGCACACTCTGGTCCTGCAGGCTCACTCACATCAAACAAGACCATTCTACAAGCACACACAACCTTGTCCCACCTCTAACAGCCCCAAGACAATTAGCTTTGAGCCTCCTGAGCAACTCAGGTAGCTCCACTGGGGACACATTCATTTGGCTGCTGTGTTGCCAAGACTCCTATGCCCCCACCCTTAGCTGTGTCCAGCCACACTAGCTGCCCCAGGGGTGGCACTTAGCAGGGGTTTCTTTATGTCTGCCTGCTTTTTCTGAAGACCAAAACCAGGCAGAAATCTTGTTCCCCAGTCTGTTTCCTCCCATGTGCCTCCAAAAGTCCCCAATACTCAGAAAGGCACTTTCAGCCCTTGACAGGCTCTAGCCCACCTCCTGCACTTAGCTCCATATGCAGGCAAGGCACAGGTTGCCTGCCTGACACCACATCATGCCACTGCGTCATTACGGCACCAAGCTCTTCCCCTGTGGCCTGGCCTGCTCGTTACATAAGGTTATGGCACCACTGCTGATGTGGAATTACTTTTGCTCTGATGACCTGATAATAGCAGTCTTCCCTGTTCCCAATTCCAATGGCCCCTGGCACACACAGGCAGTAGAAACTGAGATAAGGTGATGGCAAAAGCCCTTTGTTCCTTAAGATGTGGGGGAGCCCCTCTGAACCATTCCAAATGACCAAAATGCATTGTGGCTCAGGCTAGCAGCAGCAATTACCCCAAGACTATCCATGCAGTTCTGCAGGTAAGCAGGGTCTCTGCCTTAGGCCAGTCACTCCCTTGTGCTGACCACTACAGCTTGTGGTCCTAGGGAAGCCTTTTCCAGCACTTCTCTGCCCTGATTACCCAAAGCTGATTCAGCCTTAGACCCCGATCTAACAGCTGACCAGGACTTTTCTTCCCTTCTTGGATAAGCCAAGTGCATTGAATCTCTTCACTTTCTCACCGGAATGAGGGGTTTCCAAGCTGGGAGCCATGTGTTGCTGCTGCAAGGGACTCACTCACCAGAAATGCAGAGCACCAAAAGTAGCAAAGTAAACAATTCATTCACCCATGAAGCATCATGGGTAGGTTTTGGAGGAGATGGACATCAAGCATGTGACATTAGCAAAGATGGGGTAGGGTGTTTTTTGCCTCCCCGGTAGATTTGCACTGGTCACAACTCTTCCTGCCATGATAGACACTGTTCCTTTTCCCAGGGCACACAAACCAGTGGTGGAAGAGGGCACACAGCTTGGGAAGGGGAGCAGGACTGTAGTACAAGGGTAGCAGGATCTGGCCAGGAAGTATGCTCTTGTGTCAGGGCTGGAGAGGATGGAGCCACGTTTTCCCAGCTGCATTGATGCAGACTGACTGCAGACCAACACCAGAATCGAATGCTGCTGCATGCTGGGTTAAAAATAGCCTCTCTTCTCTCCCCACTCCCTTTTCTGCAGGGTTATTTTTAATCCAGAACATTTATGGGGTTTGGTTTGCCGCAGAGCCCCCACTCCATTGAATGCTCTCATCCTGGTGGGTGCAAAGAAAAAGCGGCAGCTCTACCACTGAGCTGCTCTCCCCTGCATGCTCCCACCCTGCCTAACGCACAGAAGCAGCAGACTTAGGCAGGATTTGGCAGCATGTGGAGTTAACTCAGAACTGGGAGACGCAAGGGGGTATTTCTTTGGCTAAATAGAAACACCTCTTGGTGAAGCTTAGATCCCCCAGGGCAGCCTTGCCACACATGGTTACAGAACTGAGGTTAGCAGCAATCCCAGACTGGAGGACAGGGAGAAGCACAGTGGAGCTGGGTCCTTCATCTCCACTTCTCGGCCTAAGAGAGGTGCCCTGGGGACAGCACATGCCCCTGAACACACACAGACAGACACCAAGCATCCCCACACCTGCTGCAGCAGCATTTGCACCCACCACCCAGGACTGACCGACGCTGGCCTACAGAGCATGGAAAGAAGCACAGGGCAGCAATTTGGGTCTGTCTACCTTTAATTAGAGGTATGGTTGTTACAGTACCAGGTCCAGGACATGGCAGAGCACAGGGTCAGGTGGCCCCGATGTCCAAATGCACCCTGCCCTGGGGACTCACAACTCTCCAGGAGCGTGGAGCAGCACTAGGAGAGGCAGGGAAGGCACAGCCCTGGAGCACTTGGTCTTGGGCTCCACAGCCCATGGTCCAGAGGACAAGCTTCCTTTCAGCAAGCACAAGCGCCCAGGGGAGCAGCACGCATGTACCCCAAGGCCTTTGCACCACCACAGGAAAGCCAGGCCCAGACAGACACAGGCACATTTAGCATCATAACCTGCCAGAAGACTAGCACGAGAGAAACAATCTAGCTAAAAAAATAAGGAAGAGTCCTGCGCTGGCTTCTGGGCTCTATCCTGCTGGCTGCAGCCTCCTCAGCTTTCTTCCCAGATAGGAGGGCCAAGGAGGTTCACTTCCCATAGGAGGCAGGATGACTGTGTAAACCCAAGGGTGTGAGACTCAGAACAGTGGTAGTCTGGCTCTGGGAAACATTTCCGTTCCCAGTAGTGACCAGCAGCACCAGATCCTGTGAAGGCCTGAAGTACCAATCAGAGGCACTGAGCCACCCCCACAGACCCTCAGGGTCAGTACTGTGTTCCTAGCAGTTAATTGGGTTACAGATTTCCCACCCACTTGGCTAGAGACAGACAGACTGCAGTCAGCCCCAGGGACCTATGAGCAATCCAGCCCCTTCCCCCATGGCAATCTCCCTCCAGCCATGCTCCCTCCACCTGCTCCCACATGCTCAGAGCATCCCCAGCCCCAGCTCCTCCCTTCCTCACATCCTTCTTTGCACCTCCTTTTTCTCCCAACCATTCTGCTCCAAACCAGTCCTTTCCCCATCTCAGCCACTTCTAATGGCCTGGGATCTGACCCCTTGCAGGAAAGTTCTTTCCTCCTACCCTTCCTCTGCCTCCAAGGAACAGCAAACAACTTCAGCCCTGCTTCTCCCACCAGCCACACCTAGGAACCCCACAGCAATGGGGAGCTGATTCACCCCTTAATGCCATCAGGTGAGGAACGTGGCTACAGCATCCAGTCAGGAGGTTGCAGCCAAACATGCCTGTGCTGGCAGGTCCCTGTTCCATGCATGGCCCTTGGCTGTCATCCCTTCACCTTGTCTTGGATGTCCAGTAGCTCTATGGGCCATCCTATACTCCTGTGCCCTGCAGAGAGACCCACATACCCTGGGTTGCTGAGCTCAGCAGGGAGAACGGTAGCAAGATAGGGACTGCCCTGTGCTGCAGGAAGAGCCCAGCTCACCAGGGACCAGCGCAGGTTTGCTACAGAGCACTAACATCAGCTAAGCCTACAGGGAAGAAAGCAACTGGGCACATGACAGCCCTGCCTAGGCCAGGCCTTGCTGTCCCATAACAGCCACCCATCTTCGTGCTTCTGTAGAGATGGAAGGAATAAGCTAGGAGGGTTGAGGATGTCTAATGACAGTGGAGTCACCATGCCTGGACTGAAGACAAGCCCCTGCAGGCCTGGTCCCCAGGGATGTACAAGGGCAGGCTGGGGGTGGGGGCATGCAAGGGGACGGTGGCCCGTCACCCTGGCCTGGGGGAGTGGGCAGCTCCTCGCAGATTCTTCCTGCTCTTGCTGGCCATGGGACTGGAGCTGGGCCACGTGGCCAGGCACTCCTCTGCAGGCATCGCGGTGCCCTCGCGCGCCGGGAGGGTTGGGGGACTGGTGTGGAGCTCTCGCCGAGGAAGGAGGGATGGTGTGGAGGAAAAGTCGGAAGATACAACACAAACATCCAGGTGACTGCAGTGGAGGGGAAAGAGGGAGTCTCGGGAGGCATTTAAGCCTAGTGCACAGAGAGGAGAAAGACACAATTTACAAGGCTGTGAGGTTGTAGGTCACCTAGGGAACAGGTGGGGCAGGGCCCAGGCTGCATGCAGAGACAATGGGCCACATCTGAGCAGGGAGAGATTCTTGTGAGACAAACCGCAGTCTCACTTCTTTGCCAATGTGTTTAGCAGGCTGGCAGGAACAGCTAGCTCAGGGAGGAACAGCCTAGGCCTCCTGCTCTGGGGGCTCCTTGCTCCTGGGCCTTGGGCATGGGGTACCTGCCAAGGCCATTGCACCACTGAGCTGGTGCCATTCCTGTGCTCACGTCCCAGACCCTGGCTCTCACAGCCTAACTGCCCGGGCAGCAAGCAGTTGGTCCAGGCCCTGGGGCACTTCCAGAGCTGCCCATGGGCACAGAGGTTCCTGGCATCCTGGGGGCTCCCATGGCCCTACCTGCAGCACATGACAGCTAAGGGAGGGCAGCAGACACAGCTTTAAGGGAGCTCATGTGTGGTCTCTGGACCAACACAGAGAACAACAGGCCGTGACAGACAGGAGCAGCAGGAGCTGCCGCAGTCTTCTTTTCAGGGGAGCTGCAGCACAGTGCAGGGCTGCTGGCTTGGGAGAGGAGACTGGTTATGTGTGCAGCAGGCTGGAAAAGGCATCATGTGGCAGCAGCTGTCTCGCCTAGGCCCTCAAATCCTCTATCTACACCTGGCTGGGTCAGGGAAGCTCTGTGAAGACCCTTGTGGAAGGGTCATATGAGCAGGAACTATTCCCCTTGTCTAGGATGGGCTGTGGGAAAGGGTGGCATTGCCTACTTGTCTTGAAATGATACCTCAGAGACTGTCAGAAAGGTCTTCCCAGACCATCACCAGTGCAAAGAGATGACCCAACACCAAATACAGCCAGGAGGAACTGTAGAGATTCAGCAGCCAGCGTAGGGACCAGGCAATTCTAATCCAAACCTTCAGCCCTCCCTCTGTGCTTGTCTAGCCCCATTACTAATGAGGAGTGCAAGGGCCCAGGGTTGGTGCCTTGACAGGGCTAAAACCCTCTTTACTCCTTATGACAAAAGCTGGCACAGAGGAAGCCATGCATCTGGCAGAGGCTGCTGGGTCCTCTCAAAGGTCTGTTCTCCAGATCCCCTTCAGCCACCTCCTGCGTACAATCCACAATCAAGAGAGCCAGCAGGCTTCAGGCTTCGGGTGTTGAAGGGCTGTCATGGCAACAGGGAAGAAAAAGGAGGAAGGGAGGGAGCTGATGCAGGTGAGGATAGAGCAGAGCCAGGTAGGGAAGGGTTAGTGACAGCAGATGTGAGGGAGCAGCAAAGGACTCCGTGTGCTCAGCGTCTTGCCTGTTCCAGGCTGCAACAACCCCTAGGTACCCAGCTACACTCCACTCTCAGCTATAGTTTGCAGAAGTAACAATAAGTGTTAAAAGCTCTAGCAACCCTCAAGCCAAGCACCCACCAGCACCATGCTCACTTGTCGCCTCTTCTCCATCCTCCTCCTTGCAGGAGACAAAAGGTGCCTGTTCCAGACCTGGATCACTACCTTTCTCCAAACTCAGTGCTAGTAACCAAAGTGCCCCTCAGCCTCAAAGCAAACCTAGACAGCCTCAAGTTGGCCTGTCTGTGCCTCAGCTAACACCAGTCTCTACCATTAGTCAGCTCAGCCTAGCATCCCACAAAGATCTGCCTTTTATCACCTCTGCTTGGCCAGAGCCAGTTGAGGGCATGAGACCAGGAGATGGGGACAGCAAAGACACTGGCTGCACACTATTCCTGTGCCCTGCAGTCACTCACTCACAGACACACCAGGCACATCACATGCACACAACTGTCCCCAGGCTCAGCATTGTCTGTGGCGCAGTGCAGGACAGACAGCCAAATGGCTCTCAGAGGCTGTGTGAGCCTGAGATGGGGCCAACGCTCTCAGCCAGGACCTCAAGAGGGGAGCAGCAGGGAGAGATGTTAATAAGGTTGCAAGCCTAAGATTAAGGGAAGACCAGGACCAGCTCATGCTGTGCACTGCCAGGGCCCGGCAGCTCCCCCGAAGCAGGAGCCCTTAGTTGGGAATATCTGGCCTGTACACCTGAAGCCAGACCCAGACACGCACCTTTGCAGGCTGGTTGGCTCATGCCAAGAAAGAGGGGAAGGAAATGTGCAGGGAACGAATGGAGGCAGACAAGGATGCCACGACAGGCCACGCGGGGACAGCCCTCAGCCAGGTTGTCCCTTCTCTCTGGCAGCCGGCTGAGGCCATTCTTGATGGTGTCTTGTACTTACCCCGCTCCATTCCACGCCCATACTCACTTCCTCGCTACCGTCTGTGGCATTCTCGTACTTGACGCTGCCTCCCAGGCTCCGACGTCTCTCTGTGCCATCACCCTCCTTCAGGATCTCCACCACCTTCGTCTGGTTGATTGGGTCAATGCCCTGCAAGTAGAAAAGGATAAGGAAGAATCATGTTTTGCCCTTCTGTATTCCTTCCCTCTAGAGATCTGCCGTGCATCACTGTGCTTAGTTCCATTCCCTCTCTTGGCCATTGCCCCATCACGGCCAAAACATTCCAGCACAAGCAGGATGCAGCCAAATGTCATTTCCTGCACTTAGCAATCTCTGTTTGGATTCCCAGCTCTGTGAGACCCCACAAAGCCATAAACCACCCTGGGGAACAAGGACTTGCTACCCCAAAGCTGACAGCCTTTTTTCTTCACATTCTGGAGTGCTGTCCTTCAGTCTTTGTGCTAGGTGCTTACAGCTCCTGCTTTATTATTTGAGGATTGAGAGGAGACTAGGGAGAGAGGTACTCTAACAAATTCCAGGTGCGTCCTCTGGACAAAAAAATTAGTGTGCAGAAAACATCCCAGTGAGTGCAGTTCTCCTCAGTAGCTGACTGAAGTCCAGTAGTCTGCCTTAACTCAGCTGCAGTATTTCTACACTCAGTGAGCCATGCCTTCTTCCTCACGCATACACACACTGACATCTGCTCCATCCGTGCGCACAGGCACATGCACAACCCCACACATGTACACACGTGTGTACCTCTGCACAAATGCAATCCCAACCACCAAGGTGCTCTGGTGTCATGGGAATGTAAACCAAGAACATAAGAGACTGCAAGGCCCAGGAGAATCCCTCACCACACCCAAACCAAACACAGTGCCATAACCTGCCACCTCAAGTCCTGCAATGCCCCCTCCACCAGGGAAGGTCTCTCTGGGGTTACCTGTCGCCGAGAGCGAACTGCGCACTCCTCCAAGGTCTCTGCTGCCTCCAGCTTGCCCTGGCGCCGGTACAGTGCACCCAGGTTCCTCAGAGTGGTGTTCACAGTTGGGCTGTGGTAACAGATGGAAGGTGAGTGGGAGCCCTGGGGCCACGCCCTTCAGCATCCACAGGTGCCCACAGACCACCTCTTACCTGCTAACCTTACAGGCCTTGTACCAGCCACCGTACTCAGCGTAGGGAGCACTGTCTCTGTGTTTGCTCTACAGAAGAGATCAGAGCTGTTAGTCCCACATCTGCTGCCCTCCTCTGGCCTGTGCTCTCCCACTGGATTCCAGGGGCAGGCCCCAGGCTGCACCCCCACACCAGCCCAACCTTTGGAAACACAATATGCAAATACAGTGATGAAGCCCAGCAGGTTCCTGGAGTGAAAGTTAAAGGCCCATTTGCTGCAACACATTTTAGCCACAAGCAAAAGTGATAAGTCAGTACCAGGAAGGAGCATTATCCCAACTCCTTACCCCCTTCCATGGTACCAAAGGCAGCACGGACAACACAGCCCATTCTCATGCCATTCTGGAGGGCGTAACACCCCAACCAACATGCAAAAGGGAGATGAGAAACCCAACAAAACCCCAAAGGCATACCAGGCTGCATGGGCACTAAGCCCCTCAGCCACGGCTAGCAAAGGAATCAGCCAGCCATATCTCAGCCTTCTGCCTACAAGGTCAGGCCTGCCCCACAGAGCTCAGCCCAGTTAGTTGTCTCCTCTCCATGCCCAGCCTTTGCACCCCAAAGGTGGCTGGCTGGCCCTGTCATACCCAGGTGCAAAGGGGCAGCTGGCCAGAGCAACAGGACCAAGCAGGTTCAGGGAGCCACTGCTCCACAGAAGGGGTTTCCCCTCTGGAAAGAGTTTTAGCCCAGAAGAAACTGTCTGCATGGGGGACCATTTTTCTTACTCAGTCCCACAGCACTTCTCAACTTTATCGCACATGCCAGAGTCTACCTGAGCCATAGGCACACGCGGTTTTCTTTGCACCAGAGCCTCCACAGCCTGGGCAGGCACCAAGGACAGAAGAGTTCAGGACTCAATACACCTCTGAAGCTTGAGGCAGCCCTAAAGGGTGTCCAAACCTGATAGGAAAGGTGTCAAAACCTCTAGAGTAGATAAAGCCAGGGCTGCCAGCTGTGCCCAAGGCTTTGCTGTTGTCATGAGCTGGCCTCCCTCTGCTGCCAGGAAAGAGGGTAAGGGAAAAAAGTAGTGAAGCTCTGCAAGAGGGATTTCATGCATTTTAAAAGAAGATATGGAAACAGCACAAGGCAGAGCACAGCAGCCCCATCTCCTGGGCCAGCAGTACAAGCACGTCTGTGATTACTGCTGCCTGAACAGGAATGCCAAGCATGATATGCCATGGGGCACAGGCACAACTGCCTTAAGGACAGGAGCCCCAGGGGCAGGGAAAGAGGCTCAGCCCTTGCCTCAGACTCACACGTAAAATGAACCTCACTCCATCTGTGAGCCCCTGAGCCTGCTGTCTTGCCCTGTGGCAAAGCTTGCATTATCTGGAGCATAGCTCCATACTGCAACTATCTACTTTTGACCTCTTAATTCTCCAAAGATACCATCAGAATAGTCTCAATCCAAGAGGCGCCGGGGGGGGGGGGGGGGGGGGGGGGGAGTGGAGGGGGCTGATCTCTACTCCAACTTGGATTTCTCCAGGATGGTGCTGCAGCAAGTACAGATTCCTTGCAGCAGAGCCTTCATAGTGCAGCAACTGGAGCACTGAAAAGCTGAGCACTGCCCTGCACTGGGAACGGCACAGAGCAGGTTCAACAGGAAGACAAAGGATGCTGGTGGGAAGCACCTCCTAGTGCTCTGCTCCCAGGACTCACAGGATGGGACTGATCAGTCACTAAGTCAAGTTTGCCAGCCTGCTGCCTGAGCCCATGCAGGGTTGGGACCTGCTCTGAGGGCAAAGGAAAACGAAGACTGTCTGCTCCCACTGAAGCTAGAAGATTAGACTAAAGCCCTTCACTCTGCTGCTTCACCCACCTGTTAAAAAGTAGGCAAAGTCTTAGACTTGGCAAAAGCAGAGAAAGGACTTCACTGCATTTATTGGCTGACCACAGAGCAGGGCCTGGGCAACAGGCAGCTTTGCCTTCCAGCCTAGTTCAAGGCAAGCACAACCCATTTCTATCCTCTTTAAGGGCCCACCCTGTTCAGAGATCTTTTTCAGGTTTGGTTCCATTTCCTACTGCAGTTTCTTCTTGATCTCCATTTTTCCCTAGACAGCCCTACAGGGCTGCTTCAGAAGCCGGTTATGCTCTGAGTACTGGCAGCTCTTTGGAACAGAGTGCCAAGGCGTTGCAGCACAACCCTCTGCCGTCTACCATCTTCCATCATCTGCATGCCCAAGAGGAATCACTAAAGCAAAAAGAGATAGCATGCAGCCATGGCTGAGAAGCTCAACAGTCCTAGGAAAAGCCTCATGCTCTCTGATGGGCCTCCCCTCCTTGTCCTAGGGAGCAGCCATGCTGCATCCCCTCTCTCCAGACACCTCCTGGCCATGGCAGCTCTTTAGACTGCAGCTCCTCCAGGAAGGAGCATGTGGTTGTCATAAGAGAGGATCAAACCTCCTGGAATCACTCACCTTGCTCATCTCCTCTCTCTCCTCTGCATGCATCCAGATAGGCTTGTGTTCATCTGTGTGGGGAAGAATGCAGAACAGGTCCACTCACTACCTCATCCTGTTGCTCTGCCTCCTGCACAACCCAGCATTCTGTCCCCAGAGCCAGCAGCTCCTCAGAAAGAAATGACAAGGTTTCCAGATACTTCTGGTCCCTAAGCCAGAGCCCCAAGAAAGGAAACCAACATTGCAAGGGCAGGACAGAGGAAGGAAAGAACAAGTCCTCTCATGGGGAAGTACATGTGCCAAGTGCACAGGAGAAACTTCAGCCTAAGTCTGGGAATGACTGCGCCATTTGCTATTCCCCCTTTTAACCACAAGTATTCCCAACCCAGTAAAGACTAGGTTGAGACTTCTGAGAGAAGAGGAGGAACAGCTTAACATTACTGTCATAACTAAATGGCAACATCTTAACGGCTGCCCAAAGCAGGGACCCTGCAAGTCATCCCATCCCTCTTTCAGGGCAACACCAGAACCAGCTGAGTTTAGGCCGAGAGCCAGGAGACCCTTCCCCAGCCCCAGTGGCTTCTGCTGTACAAACCATCCACAGAGCCAAACTCCTTCACGTGAGCACGGGTAAGGATCTCCTTATACAGCACCTCTGCATCTTTGTATTTTCCTTGCTTCAGGTAACAGGAAGCCTGCAACCAAAACAAAACAGCTCCAGCCCCACTGGGAAACACAGCTGCAAGAGGGGGCAGAGTTAATCTATTTTTCTGCATCTTCTAAGCACCAGGCAATGCTCACCTTTCCCATGGCACCCCTCCCTAACCACATAGCATCTCCCCAGGGTCTCACCAGGTTGTTCTTGGTCTTGGCCACATTGGGGTCATCAGGACCCAGGCAGCTCTCATAGATCTCCAGGGCCCGGCAGTAATAGTACTCCACTTCATCATACTTGCCCTGGTTCTGGCACAACAGGGCCAGGTTGTTCAGCTGCTTGGCCACATCAGGATGGTCTTTGCCTAGAACCTGGGTGAACAAAAGAAAAGAAGCCACAAAGACTGCAGTGGACTCCTGGAATTAGTAGACTCTTGTCCCTCCAGCACATGCCTATGTCAGACAAAAGCTAAGGACTAGGGAGGTAAAGAGGAGAAATTCCAGCTTTCACCTCCTGGCAGGCCTCTCTAGGGCTGCAAACACTGGAGAGACAGGAAAGGTGGTGGCAGAATCAGCAGCTAAAGAGACTAGGTAGGCCCTGAATCTTCCATGTGCATTGAGGTAATGGGAGAAAGGCCTAAAAGAGAGCTGAAAGGAGAAAGTGTGGGAGACTAGTACCTTCTCACGGATCTCCAGGGCTCGCTTACACAGTGGCTCTGCTTCTTTGTACTTCCCTCTCTTGCCATAGAGAACAGCCAGATTGTTCAAAGTTGCTGCCACCTACAGAGACATAAGCTCCTCCGTGAAACAAAGCAAATTCCAGACCAAACAAGGGGTGCAAGCAGCAGTAACAGTGACTGTCCCATTTCCTCCATGCCTGCAGAACTGCTGCTTCTAAAGATAAGAAGGTCCAGAGACAGAAGGCTTCCCTGCCTATATGGCAGGATCCAAGAGAAGACAACTCCTAACAGGTCATACCAAACCAGACAGCAGGAAATATTGAAGCAGTAAAACACTGCCAGAACAGTGCCCCAGCAGCACCCAAAGGTGAAGGAAGGGACTGAAAGAGGAGGGAGACACTCACCGCTGGGTGGTCTTTGCCTAGAGTCTTCTCACGGATGGAAAGAGCATCATTCAAAAGGTGTGCTGCCTCTTTGTATTTATTCTGATCCCTGCAGTGCAAAGCCAACCAGTTACTTGGGATTTGGACAACACAGCCCACAGCAGGCAGAGCTATGAAAAATAGTCCTCCTTCTACACAGATCCAGCCCTCACAGCCCTTCCATTTCTCCACTCCTCCCTACTATAGCCAGTCCCTAGCTATATCAGGGAGTCCGGCAAACTAAATACCTCACCTATGCCAAAACCTTTTTGAAAGGGAAATCACTGGAAGCTGGGGGAGCTCCCTGTCACCAGGATGTGCCGTAAAGGTGAACAGGAGATGCAGAAGCCTGTCTTGGCCCAGTCTTGTCCTCCCCACCATGCTCACCTGTACACTAATGCTAGAATGTTGAGCATGGTAGCCACATCAGGGTGATCGTGGCCTGATGTCTTCTCCAGATCCTCCAGCGCCTGCTTGCAGAGCGGCACAGCCACCTCATAGCGCCCCTGTGACGCATACTGGATAACAAGGTTGTGGAGGGTGCGCAAGCGTGCAGGAATCTCATAACCTCCCTGCTGGGCAGCTGCCACAGCACTGCTGTGCTGGTGGGGCACTATGGGCACAGAGAAATAAAAATGGCACAGTTGGCATAGCAGGCTTGAACAGAGACAGGCAGCAACCATGCATGAGCAAACACTTACATCCGGGACCATGCTCCTCCTCCTCATTTGGGAACAGATCATCCAGGGAGTCCTTGGTGGAGTCACCCTCCTTCTCCTCCTGAGAGGATGAGAATCACAATACTGTTGCTTCTCAGAGGAGACAACAGCAGCCTGGGCTAAGTCAGTTGCCAAACTCTCCACCTTTCTGCAGCCCACCAACACACTCAACTTCCCCTGTTGTCTCTGCCACCATATTCCCCCCAAAACAAAATGGATAAAAGACTGATTTCCCCAGCACCAGCATCCATGCCACTCCACGTTCTTCCAGAGACACTGCCCCATGCAGGCCCCCTTTAGTTACAGGCATTGCTGTGCATGGTAGCTGGGAAGGGACAAAATCCAAGGCAATGCCTGGATTACACCCAGGCAGTACTGCTGGTCCAACCTCCCAGACCCACAAAAAGCAGCTGCTCAAAAGGACTCAGGCATACCGAAGGTGAGACATCCTCATCATACTTCTTCAGCTGATTCATGAACTCAAGGTGTTTCTTCTCCTCCTCCAGCTGAGCCACAGTTTGTTCACTACGCTGCAGCTTCTGCTGGGTGTTGGCAAGCTCATCACGCAGCCACTGGTTCTCCTGGCACAGTCTCCGCACCTGAGCACGCAGCTTCTGCTTCTCTGACTCCACAGCATTCAGATGGTTGGACAACGCCATCATCACCTGGTTAAGAGTCTCAGTCAGTAACAACCACAATCCTGTGTCTCCCTCACATGCATGCTTAGGGTACACCTCAGGGTCATGCTGGCCTTCCACACTTAGCCCCCTCCTGTCCCTGCAGCTTATAGGAAATGGCCACATGCCTACCTTCCCCCATCAGTCCTGGATAACACACAGGGGATCCCCCACCACCTCACCTGAGCTTCTCCAAGCCCTAGTTCAATCATCTCCACTGATTTGCGGAGCAGGTTGGATTTCTCATGCACGAGATTGGCTTCTTCATCTTTCTTCAGGCACTTAATGGTCTCCAGCAAGCTGTGCAAGATGGAGTTGTGTTCATTCTTGAGTGCTTCCAGCCCTTGCATCACCAGCTTGGTGTTGGAAATTATCTCCTCTTGGCTCAGCTTGTCCAGTTTCTCCTCCCTTGGGTACACCATGGTGGACATAGTCCTACTCCTGCAGCCCTGCAGAGACCACGACAAAACCTGAGTGCCTCAGTGCTATTTCAGAGCGCCACAACCAGACACAGGTATCATAACCTCCTTTAAGCAGTCAGAGATAGAGTTTAAGTGGTTGCCTACTCTAAGCCCTTTATCTTACCCTCTCTCTTTGGCAGCAGGCGGCTGTCAGGGCATACACCTCTGCTTTTGTGGCCTGGCATGCTGGCAACCAGTGCAGGTGGCACACATGGACAGGAGACAAAAAGGCTAGAATCAGTGCTGACCTCCAACACTCCCACACGCCCAGCAGGAGGAAAGCTAATTTAGCTTCCATTTAAGAGCAGAGATTTGTGGTTACAATCCGTACATCTCCTGCCCACAGACCACTGATGCAGAGAGGCTGTCAGAGCTCAACACCTCTTCTGACTGCAGAAGAAAGGGAACAGAAAGTGGAAGGATGCCAGCTCAAAGCTTTCTGCTTCCTCATGGAAAATCTCCTGGAAGAACATCTCACAGACAGGGGGACAGCAGTGGCATTACTGCACCAAAATATTGCCTGACCAGAAGAGCACATCCTGACGATCATGGCCCTGGCACAGAACAGCCATTGTGGTAATAAGGGACACAACATCACCAGCAGGACTGACTCACACAGCGTGGGGAAGCTTACATACACCGACTGCTACAGTCACACTAGCATAACCCTTGTGTGGGCGTCAGCTTGAAACACTAAGAGCTTTTCCATCTTCATGCACCCTGCTGCCAGCCCAAGGACTCCTCAGGATGGCATAAGGACTCTGTACTCCTTCCCTGTCCTCCCCCTAGATATACAATGGGAGAATACCAAGCTACTGCCTTGGCACAGGGACACCAACCACTACAACCCACAAGGTTAGTGTGGCTGCAAGATCCCTTCATAGAAAGTCCAGGAGCTAGGGAAACACAACAGGCGAAAGAGTGCGAGGCACAAGAGACAGGCAAGACCCCTTACAGCTGGTTGACAGTACCCTGGCTGCTCCATGAGTCAGTCATCTAACCCGGTCCCAGCCTCCCCCTCCAGCTGGGCCACCCCATCAGTCTCCTCGCATTACTCAGTAATAAAGCCACCACCCACCTCACTATGGGTCACTCCAAAACAAGCCTCCTGTGATGCCCTGCACAGGCAGCACCTGCCCACCAGCACCTCCTTGCCATCTGGAGCTGGCAGAGGGCTCTGCAACCTGAGTGCCCAGGGCCCTGCTGCCAAGAAGCTGGAAAACTGCCCAGGAGCTATGCAGGAGGTGGTGAGAGAATTGCTGCCAATGGATTTGCCCTTGCCCTTCTGTAGAAGACACCTCTGCATGGTTTGAGCTCTTTGTTGGGCAGCTGCCTTATGCCTAGTTTACTGAGAGAACAGAAATTCTGCCTCAGGTACAAGAACAGAGAGAGCAGAGCTCCTGGCAGGGCTCCTTTTCGCCTCACCTGTGCAGTCTGCCCAGGAAGGCTCAGGGCTATCCCCCAGTCCAGCTACCAGGGAGCTACTAGGGAATTGACCCTGAGCAACTGAGGGGCCCAGTTTCTTCCTGATTGCAGCACTGAAAGTAAAGATGACGACCAACACTGGGACAGTTGTTTCAAGTAGCACATCTCATAATATCCACTAATTTCCTCCTCTTTATCCTCACTCTTTCTTGAGTTATTTTATAGGCCTGAACTCTCCTCTCAACTCTTCTTTGGTTTCTGTTTCAGTGATACAAATCCATCCCTCAGAAAGGGGAGAAAACCCTCAACACACAGTGGAGACTTTACTGAACCTCAGCAGGGCAGAAGCATTTCATATCTTTTGAAGACTGCATTCCTGTTCACACCTCTGAACAAAAACTGAGTTGTGCTCCCCCATCTACCCCAGTCACAATGCTGACATCACATTTACCTCATGATCCAGCATCAGCAGCAACCATGAGTCAGACTTCACCGTATCCTCCACTTTTGGGTATCTGCCATGCTTCACATGCAGTCAACCCTGTGCATTGGGCACTTTACACCAAAATGGTCTCATCTGGACCACAACTTACAGCAGTTTGCTTTAGAGAAGACCATATGATAAGGATAGCATGAAAAACCTCATTATGGTTAAGATGGAGGCCACAGACTACTGTTTTGAAAGGAAAAATAGGTCTGTTGAGAGTTGGCTGCCACTCTCTTCCAAACTGATCTTCCAGAAACCAGCAGTTAAGCAGACCAGTTGACAATTACCCTGGTTATTCTTTTTCCCACCTTTATAACACATCTGGAGTGTGATCGAGTGCTAAAGCAATAAAGGAAGCCTTTCCTAAGGCAGACTTCTGCAGGTGAGCACAACTCAGGAAGAAATGTGCAACAATTCCCAGCCTGAAAGAAAGAGGCTGGCAGCCCAAAGGACACTAGTGCTGCCTCATCTGGCCAAGCACTGTTGTCCTGCTCTGAAATAGGTCCAGACAGCTTCCCAGGAAGGCTCAGCAGGCACTTACCTGCTTTCACAGAACTCAAGGGTTCTGCTAAAGGGTTAAATGGCTCCATCACTAGTTTCAACTCATAAAGAAACACAGCCCCAGACTTAGAAACAGGGAAGCAGGAGTTCAATGGAGCATAGGCAATGCTTGGGACACAAGAATATACCCAGGAATGGCCTCCTACCCAACATACCACAAAACTAGAACTCTGCTTTAAAGCTGACACAGCTAGGCAGTCCCTCTGGGTACTGGGTCAGCTGTGAAATGCTGAGTTTTCATGGCAACACCACTTATGTCCATATCGAGATCTTGCTGCCATCTTTAAAAAGCACAATACATATGCATTGGGTAGAGGAACATGTTACAGGATAAAAAGCCACCAGAGCTTGCACCTTGCTAAGTAACAGTCAGACAAGACCCAAATCCATAGAAAATCAGCCTCAATAGTTCTACTGTACACAGAACCACTCCCTAACTGTGAAATTGCTGTGTGTTAAACCACCAGTGCCTCTACAATAGCAACATTCTTTCTTCAGCCCTTCCAGCAGAAAACATTCAAGCATTTCGTAGCCCCTACGATCAACTTGTTTTTTGAAACTGTAAAAATTTCAGACTGAGAAGCAAAAATAGTTAAGACATCCTGACCCATAGCACATCAGACTCACCCTACCCTGCAACCACATCCTCAGATCCTTCAAGACATACCAATACAGGCTCTTCTCTCACTGGCTGTGCAAACATCTGTACACAACCTTGGCCTCTCTCCCCTAGGATGACATCCTAGAAACACAGCTCTGCTCGATACCAACACGTTTCCAGTGTTCAATGGCTGACAGGGGATTGTTCAGACTGGACAGACCTAAGAACAACACACAGCTGCTCAACAAGAAAACAAATGGGAGACTGCAGAGAAGTCACTCGAATGCTGCTACCTCTTGTACAGCAAAGAAAACCAACAAACACTGGTGGGAGCTGACTTATTATCATTCTAAAGCAACAATTTTCCCCCACAGAGCCTTATTTCTAGTTCTCCCCAGTGCTGACAGGTCTACGCTCAGTGCTCAGCCCTCCAAGGAGGAAACATGCTCTGTGGCATCAATGTCAAGGTCAGGCAGGCTGAGGCTGCTGTATACACGCTCTTCCTACTCCTTTGCATTCAGCATTCAGTGTCCTTTATCCAGGCACAAAACACTCAGAGGTTCCCAAAGAGAGGAGGGGAGACATCATCATTTGCCTTTTGCTGGGTGAGGTTAAACTGGAATAAGAAGAAAGAATGCTTCTCCAAATAGCTCCTTGAGAGATGGACTGCCCAGTTCCCAGCTTATTCTTCTGCATTCCTCATGGCTCTGCTGGTGTCATAGCCCAAGTCTCCATCTGCACGTTTCCACTCTAGTTGGCATGTCTTCCCTATTTACCATGAGTTGCTAGAATAGCCTGGCTTTCAGACAACACCCATCTCATCTCCCCTCTTCTGCTCCCACTTGCAGGAGTGCTGCTAGAAGACAAGGAAGGAACATGCGTGCACTGAGCTTTGTGGCAACTGCAGCAATCAGCCAGGAATCCACCAGCAAGCACATCCTGCCTGGCACAAACCTTCCTCCTATATTCAAGTGCATAACCGGGAAATCACTGAAACTGCTGATGCAATTTCAGCAGCTCATTTTTCTGCCTCCGAAAACTGCTCCCACATGCAAGAGCTTTAAGATGAAAGAGCTGGAAGCTTCACTGCTTTTATCTTCAAGCCACAACAGCTACAAGGATGTCAGATTAAATGGGTCCAAATGAATCTTGAAACACGGGTTATGATGCCTAACGCTAAAACACTATGGAGAGTGGAAAAAAAAGCACCAGGGAATCAGGAGTCAAATACAACAGGACAGAGATTCAGGTCTATGCACAACTCAACAAATTCAGTTCACCGCCTCCCTGCACATTCCTGGACCTAAGTGAAATGCAGGGTACCATCCCAACTTGAACAAGTAATAGTGTCAAGACAATAACTGCAGCTTCCTTCAAATTGCAGAAAGTCTGCCAGCACTTTCTGTATAGAAGTGGGCACAGATTTTTAGCAGCAAATACTTCTGCAGGAGAAGGTGATCTAAGGATAAGGTAGTTGCAGGAAAACAGCTGGGTTGTGGAAAAAGCTTCCTGTGGAAGAGTAAGTCTGACCCATAGCAAGAATGAGTGGCCATTTGGGAGACAGATAGCAACAGTAGCATTTAGAAATAGGAACAGAGGGCTTAGTCTTACTTCACCATAATTATCCCAGTCTCATGCTGTGAGACACGCTTATGCTACCTGGTAAAACAGCAAGGTTATACATTCGGGAAGAAAAACAACTTGACAAAAGCAGGGAGGGGTGGCGCGTAGGGTGCTTTGGTTTTTTCGCTGTTGGACCTCTGCCAGCTCATTACTGCTGAACAACAAAGGGTCTCTGGAAAGACTGGTTGACCTCCAATGAAGCTAGAAGTGAGTTCGCAAATAAGACAGCTGAGTCTTCAACACTGCAACAAAACCATGACCTAATACTTTGGATGCTGAAAAATAAAATAAAAGCAGTAAAAAGCAATCAAAGTGCCAAAGTTGCAACCACCACAGAGGCCATGTCATAAGCACAAGCTTTCTCCTTATTTTGATACCATAGTGTCAGAAAGCAAACAGAGGCTGTAGGAGATTACAGTCAGCTGCACAGAGCCTCTGAGATTTCCACTGCACAGCCGGGACACATTAACACTGCCAGGAAACTTGCACACTGCCACACCACTGCTAGAAGAACCACTGTGCTCAGGGTCACCACCCTAGGCTACCTGTAACAGACCGATAGAAAAGGGATGGCAAACTGGTGCTGCTGAGCTGTACATCCAACAGTCGGCATTTCCAGAGCTGCTCTAATACGAGTAAAATAAGAAATGCTGAGGTTCATGTGAGGCACAGAGCAGCAACAGTGCTCTGTGATGCTCGTTACCACTGCCAGAAATGCCTGTATGCTCCCCTAGAGCCACTAAGAACACGCAAAGAGAAGATCAGTGACGGGTCAGCACCTTGGAAATTCATATCCAACAAATCTCTGAGTTGCAATCCCAAAGTCTTTCAGATATTACAAACTCCAACGTGCATGACATTCTCTGTCACCATTTGTTTCTGGCTCAGAAGTTTCTACCCTACTGCCAAAAAAGGGGGCACCTAGGGGGCACCTAGAGCTTCATCTGCCACCCAAAGTTCTTTCCCAACACATTTTCCAATAAATTCCTGAATTCCTTAGATAAACTCAATGCATTTGCCTTTGCTGAACACCTTTTCAGGACAAAGGAGCGAGGCACAGCACTAGAAACTGATCCAAGGCCTAGAGACAGGGAATGCAGTGCATGCCTCCTTTCAGCAGGGTCCCACAGGGATCCTTCTCCAAAGCAAGAGAAGCACTGCAATCTAACTCAAGTAACAGAGCAGGCAGTGGAGGCAACAAGCTCTCTCGCTCACATTCTCCTGTGTCCCAAAACCAGGACTCTCTTTGGCATCCAGGCACCCTCCGCACATAGTTTTGAAGCAAACCTCCAAGACCAGAAAGGCTTCACCCAAGCAGCTTCCACAATCCTTAGTGGTGTAACTCAGTACAAGTTGACTGTGCTATTGGAAATAGCATAGCCCTCCCTATCCCCTGGACAGGGATCAAGGCTAGGATTGCTTCTTTTAGCAGCAGCTGACACATGCCAGCACTAGCTGACTGTGAAGCTCTCAGGGTTTTTTTCTAGATACTGTAAGGCTTGTGTTGGGAATGTCTGTGCTAACCAGCAGGCTGCAAGAGGCCCAGAGGACTAGGACTAAGGACTAGATTTGCAGTAGAAGGGTTCTGCAAGGAGATAAGAGGCTCCCTTGATGCTCTTTCCCTTCAGCACCGAACACTCCTCTCCGGCCCAGAAGCTTCAGCTCCCTACCACCTACCACCTCTAACAGAAAACACACCTTCACATAACCCTCCTGAAACCAAGGGCAACATGGTGCTAAAGTGGCTTTAAAAGGACTTGGCCACAGTGAGTCAAGTTCAAACCACTACAGAAAGAACATGGGAGCTTCCCATCCCCCTCCCTCTTTCCAGCCTTTAGCTGGAAATGACAAGACAAAAGGTACTAGGGTTTGTTCCGATTGACCAGAGCAAGCAATTTTTGTGTTATCAAAGCATGATCCAATTCCAATATGCATATGTACTCTGAGGAAGACAGAGCAAGTGGTCTGGTTGGCTTTGTGTCAGATCACTCATTTCTTTCAAGACCATGAAGGTCTTACTCCCTTCATTGATTACTACTAGAGAATACAGATATTGGAAGCAATAAGAGTTAAAAAACCCCAACAAAACAACCATCCATAGCAAAAACAAACAAATAAACAGCACCAACCTGTTAGCAGAAAACCATTAGCAGAAAACCACTCTGCTCTGTATTACACTTCATACTGCTTACAACACCAGCTAGCTGGGGTAACATGCACCTTCCAGCAGGCCATTGGAATGAGAAGCAGTCTTCACCACCCCCACCAGCAAGCTTGTGCTGGCACCTCCAGATCAGCTGATAAGACCTTGTTTTTAAATTCTTGCTTATGTCTGCAGCAGCTCACCAAATCCATTCTGCATCTGCTGCGCCGGGGACTACAGTAGAACACCATCAAAATGTGTTTCCAGGCTAGTGGAGACAAGAGCTAAGCAGTTGGAATAAAGCCAGGACAAGCATCTCTTCCTAGTTTCAGAATCTGATTGGGAGTCTCACTCTATAAAAAATAGAGTGAGAGCCATTACCTTGCCCTGACAGCATGAAGTGGTATTAAAGCAGGCAGAATAATTCCCAGGAGCCAGTGCCTCTACAGGCATCTGTCTAATATGAATGCTATGCACTGGATTTGCCTCAGGAGTACAGGAGAAGGCCAGGATGCAGATGGGACCAGCAAGAGCCCTGAAGCCACTGTGTGTGCCCTGAAGGGCTCTGGAGTCCAGAACACTCCCTCCCATGGTGTACCTGGGGCAGCCGCAAACACCAGTCGACTGCAGACTGCAAGACTGCGCTATCATTTCCAGAAGCAAACAGGTTTTGTAAACTATAACAAGGCAGCCAAATTCACAGAGACAAACCTCTACCTGCATAACAAGCAAAGGATCCGTTCTACCTCTGGCTCCCCTGTCTAGCTGGAGTTCTTTGAGGAGCTATGTGGCTCTTTCCCAGCAAATTAAGCCTTTATCCAGAAACTCTGCCAAGGTCAGAATCTGGCCACGTGTCCTTTGTGCCCCAAGAGCCATTTTGGAATTTGAGGTTAATATTGTTATTCCAACCTGGACATTCCTCCAAAACAGCAGATGAAAGAACACATGCTTCCTGCTTCTTCTGCCAATTAAAAGCAAAGCACAGCCATGTTTATTTACCCTGTGTCTGAGCTGGCTAGATCTTTGACCTATGTGTGCTGAACACCACCCTTTCCCCACACTAAGAGGCAGGGGTGGGTGCTTTCCATATCTCCAAGGTGGCATGGCAGAGAGGAGAGCAAGGGCACTAGGGAGCATGGAACTGCAACAGAGTGCCAGATGTCCCTGTGCAAGACACAGGGAAGCCTGCGGTTTCTGGTAACGTGCTGCTGTCTCCCACCATTGTGCAGATTTCTCCGGCTGCCTGGCCAGAGCGTTCTACTGCAACACCATCCCCCAGCTCTTCTTCAGACATCTGAAGAACCAGACGCATCCTCTCCTTCCCAGAAGCTTACCAGCGATTGCCCCCCCTCCCCCAGCCCACCACTTTTGGTAGGGCGCACCTCCAATTCAGAACAGCTTAGGAAGCAGTTAATTGATGGAAGGAAGGTTTGGGAGGAAACAAGGCTCTTTGAGAGCCATCGCTGTACGACCTGCCTCCGTCATCGTTTCTCCGGCTTTGTCTGGCAGGAGTCACGCCCGCTGCGTATCCTTGGAACACGTAAACCAGAGAAACCCCTTCAACCCTCAGAACCACCACAGAGAAATTCTGTGGCCACCTGGCTAAGTGCAAGCTTTGCGAGGAAAAAAAAAAGTTTTCATCAGCTCTGCCCGAAATTGCGCATCAAAGCGGTCCTTTGTTCCAGGGTGCCTGGGCACCCTGCCTGCCTCAGTCACCGGATGGGAATGTCCCCCGCCCCGTGCCGCAGAGGAGCGGTACCTGGCTGCCTGCAGCGGCTTGTCCAGCGCCGGCTCTCCCGGAGGAGGCGAAGGAGCGATGGCCGCGGCACTCCGCAGCTCCCTCTGCCGCGCTGCCCTCGGAGCGAGCAGCGGCGCAGGCACCCGACGCTCGGCAGCCAACCACACTGCGGCAGGGGGAGGGGAGGGATGCGGACAGGCTTCGGGAACAGGACGGTCGGACGCTCTCCTGGGAGCGCAGAAAGCGCCACGCGCGCCAAGCCCACGGCTCCCTCCTCAGGGATCGACGGGAGCACCAAGGAGCAGGGCCAAGCCCCCGAGATGCCGACAAACTCTGCTCAAGGAGATCTACCCAGCATCGAGCTCCTACTCAGATCGCCAAAGCCCTGTTCCATCCCACCCTCCATCCTGTGGCAAAAGGTTTTACATCCTGTTTGGCATCACCCTCGCCTGCGTCCCACTGCTGACCCCATCCCAGCCCCTAAAGCCGAGCTGGTGTAGCTGCAGAGAACCATCCAGTTGTGTGGTTGCTATCGCTGTGCCCACAGTCATGGCCAGATAGAGGAGATGTGGGATGGCTGGAGCCCTACTGTGTACACACTGCACAGGGTGGACTAGGCCAGGCAGTGCTGAGAAGCACTTGTTCAGTCTCTAGATGCTTTACACGGAGAGGGGACAATGACACAGCCTCCAGCTTGGATAGTTGCTACAGTCACCCCATCCATAGTAACACACAACTGTCATGGTGCTCCCTACGATGTTTTGTGAGCCTTATGCCATCCCCAGTTACCTACATCTGCCTGTCCCAGTGCTTCACTGGTGTTCCTGTCCCTTCCCACAGATTCCCCTGAGGGGGAAGGGCTTCAGGTATCCCAGGAGGCAGCCCAGCCACGCTGACACGCAGGTTCTCTCTTGCCTCATCTCACAACATATATTTCTTCTCTAAAGCTGTTCTCCCTTCCCTAATTCTGGAGGGCAAACCTGGCTTGCTATGGGGTACGCACAGCAATGGCACAGTTAAAAGTCACATAAGTTACATAGCAGGAATGCAAACATACATTACATACGTTATTTGTCTTACAGTGAAGGCCATTCCTGGCAGTGAAGGCACAGACTAATTATAGAGCGGTGAATCCCGCAGTCTGTGCCCGCAGCACCCTGGAAATAGCCATGGTTGGGACTTCGGGCTG